TTCTCATTAAATATTTTAATTGGCTCTTTGTTCAATTGAATTTGAATTTAGCACATCAACTACCTACTTATGGCTCCCGCTTCATGGGCGCTTATGGTTGTCGTGGACATGAAAAAAGAGGCAATAATAATAAGCTTCATAAAGAAGCGCCTTGTCTGGTTGCTTGTTTATACCTTTATTGCCTTTCTGTTTTTCTCTTCGCTAAATAGCTATTCATTTCAATGTCCCAACAAAAAAGCAGTATTGTAAATATCAAAGGAGAATTTCTTAGTTGTTGTATTTATTAAATAATTATGAGTAAAATTTAAGTATTGTTTGTGGATATTGGCGTTTTAAACGTAAAATAGGAGACAGCAGGGTATCTACCCCCTTCAGAAATTTGCCATCATTTATCAAAGTATCCAAAACCAGGTTTTAATCTAGCTTCCTATAATTTTACATTAAGGTTTGTTGATTAAAATTCACTGTTAAAGTGTGCTTTATTTGCATAATTTTACTTTTTCCATTCGTTTTCTTGGATGCATGCATTCACATCTTCCAATGTTAATTTGTTCTTTTATTCATGTCGTAAATTCGTATGTATTCCTATTTCTTTTTCACGATTATGCCTTTTTCTCAGTTTCTCGTATAAATAAAATGAAAAAAAAGTGTTTGCATTACAGGTGTGGTATGCGCATCAGTATAAGATATATTCTCCTTGCGTTTGTGAAAGATTTTCACCATTAGAGGACTCTCGAAGACGGAGTCGTAAAAATTTAATGATAGGTTTGTTCGGATTTGATAGTTCAAGAACCGTTCTTGGATTTGAACTATCAATTTTATGTATAATAGTTTAACTTCGTTCAAAATTTGGAAATGTTGAAACGTTTTTTCGACAACGGTGTAAGTTCTTTCATTGAAAATAATTATACGCCGTCTTATTAGAATAGTAGAACTATTAAATTTAATAGAACATACCTAGTTATTATTTTGGACATTGAACAAGAAGAGAACAAAAACTTTAAACATCCTGCTAATTAATAACCATTTGGTTATTTTTTATATAGGAAACCGATTAATATTCCATCAAATCTAAACGGTAGTTTCTTTCGTGCTGCAAAAGATCGAGCCAGTTGCTAAAAAATTGAATAAACGAACAAGGGGGTTTAATAGCCAGCCAATTTATAGTTATTCGTATACCGGTAGTTGTTACAATGAACTTTCTGGTAAAGTGAACTAAGTTTTATTTAGGTCCAGTAAAATTACCTCTTTTTAGTGAACTGGTTTTGAGTTAAGGCAATGGTACATTCAAAATGGTTTGGTTTCCATAACTTAGGACCAGGGCCTATTTTTGATTCAGTTGGGCCCCAAGGCCCAAGCAAAACTTCGGGCCCCCAATATCCTATAATGATGATACAGCGGCGGCTCGTGGGTTGCGGACATTGGGGTGGGAGGGGGGGTGGGAGGTGTTATGAGTGGTAATTTTTTTTTGGGTGCTTAGCCCAAAAACATTTAAATATTCTTTTATTAACCATCATATATGTATAATGTTGACCGAGATGTTGACTTTCCTGACTATTAAAAAAGTTTGGAAATGTCACTTTTTTGACATTTACTTTCCACCCACAGGTCAAGAGTTTACTTTCCTCCCGTGGGCCGAAAGTAAATGAAATTGTTAAAATTTATCGTATTTTTTGACTTCTACTTTCCACCCACGGGTCGAAAGTTTATTTTCCTCCCGTGGGCCGAAAGTAAATGAAATTGAAATAATTTATTGTATTTTTTTAGTTTTTATTCAAATAAAAATTACAAAATTTGAATGATTGTAAATAAAATAGTATACCATACCTACATACCTCGGTGATAAGTTTCATTACTGCCTCGAGATTTTAGTTAGACCGAGGCGCAGCCTAAAATCTCTCGACAGTAATGAAACACTTTCCACCTCGGTATGTAATATACTATTGTCATCTTTCTTTTTTTTTGTTAAGTTTCACGATAAAAAAATTTTTAGTTTTAATTTAATTTCCAAGTAATTAATAATTGACAGATGATTTTATTAATTCTAAAAAATTAAGGCTATATGGTCCAAATATAACCAAAGTAACCGAATCGGTTGACAGATGGTTCCTGAAAATTGCGGTTACTTGGGAAACGCGAACATGAAAAAATAATTGACAGAATTTACGGATAAGACCAACAGAACCGATAACCGATCCGATAGCCGGTAACTATTTTCACATTTGGTTAATCAGATATCAGATTCCAGGAAACCAAAGTCCAAAAGTACCTAACCACTTTTCTAGGAACCAGAGTAATTTGATTACTTTCGTACCGCGAAATCACAACCCACACAAAAGGACATACTGGACATACTGGAATATACGATATAGTTTTTTTTTTTTTGTTTATTTTCGAATTGAAATGTATTTTTTTTTTCAAGACTTTTTCGGGGCCCCACTTTCCACCGGGCCTTATGGGCCTTTTAGTAAAATAGGCCCTGCTTAGGACAAGGGTTGATAAGAGATTTTCACAGTAGTTTACTCAAAAAAAGGCACAAGAATATTCCTTCGATTGGCTATTCTTCAAAAAAAAAGCCTTTTAGACGCTGGAAAAATGTTTTGAATATACAGGATTTCCTGTTTGATTCAAATGATGCGTATAGCCTCTCAATTAGTGATTGGAAAAGCATACAGAAGATCGTGAAAGTACTGATATTCAAGGATCGCTTGAAGAAGAAATGAGGGAGAGATGGACTATGGAAAAGACGTTACAAACGCTGAGCGACATTTCAAAAGAATCCTTGACAGAAGAATAAATTATCCACTCGGTCGGTATCAACAGGTATAGGTATGATGGTTGATGGATGCAATCTTGGAATAAAACTATAAACTTGATTTAGAAAGATCGAATAGGAGAGATAAAAGTAATAAGATATGACCCAAGTCTAGTTGAAGGATGGTGCAGGGTGCTGGTGCCAGATCCTGTAAGTATTAACTCCAAAGAAACCTGCGACGACCCAAAATAACCTGTCCTTGGAATAAGTGGCAGACCCCGGAATGATTTACTAGTTCTAGTATTGTAAACTATTTCAGAAACTATGCAAAGTTGATACAAATTAATCCGCAATAGCTCCAATTACACGAGCCCCTGAAATGCGCGCTTGTCCTGGAAATACTAAGTCCTAATATAATTTCCAGACTTAACTGCTTAAAACCTTTTGCTTTCTACATATACATGGCAACCCTGCCATAATCAGTGTTCTATTATAAGCTCCGTAAATCACTTTAGAAAAATGAAATCAACACATGCTGTCCATATCTAATTAACTAATACCTACTGGTTCATAAATTGTAAACATTTGTTTTAAGCATGATAAGGACCAATTAACATATCGAAACAAATCATTATAATTTGAGCACTTCTATCAAAAAGGGCCGAATAAAATTGACCAGAACATGCAAAAGCAATGACTTTGTCCATTGCATGATCTCTCGAAATTGGGGTTCAAGCTTTACCTCTAATAATTATTATTGTTTAAAACCCTAGAGAGCGAATTAAATATCAATTATGTCCCTAGAGGTCTCGTCATATCTTTGAAATCGATGTTGGTGATCAGGCAACCAACAAAAATTAGAAGCGAAGCTTAGAGCAAAGGTGGTTCTTGTAAAATGCAGGTGTTGTGTTTTTTTTTAATTGTTTACCGAGTTTGTTAAATTGTTTAAATCAATCAAAAGTGCATTAGCAAAATACCCTTTGATGGTATCTTGAGGGCATGTTAGATAATGCTTTATTCGCATTAGTTTATTATGATTTGGTTTGGGGTGTTCCGCATGTCATGAGTATTTTTTGGCCTTTTTAGGGGAATAATTTTTAATTTCCAATGTGATTGATCACTTTGGAATAACTTAAATGGAATTATTCAAACATTTTTAAAGCACATCAGATACTGATTTAAGATAAGTAAGTAGGTAGGTACCTATTTCTTATGGTATGTTTAAATTTGATTTGTCAGAGTATGACGGGGAATGCTTGAATGTTTGAAACACAGAATACCCCCTTTCCATGTCCAGTCAATTGGCATAGTCCCGGATAAAAAATATATACCATAACAATAACCAAAATCTCCTATACTTTTACTGGCTTGAAATCACTCAAATAGTGGTTAAATCAATGAACACAACAAATTGCAGTTTAGTACAAATAAAATAAAAATGTTATAAATTAAAATGCAAGAAAACTGTAATTACAATTTCAAAAAAATAATTGACTAGGACGGGCTATTTTCCTCCTTTTCGATGCAGGGCCGTATCTAGGGGGGGTTTTGGAGGTTCACACCCGCCCCCCGAAAAATATTAAAATTCAATAAATTTAACTTAAAAACAAACAAAACTTATTAAATACTTATTTTTTTTTTTTTATTACTAGTGTAACAATTTTTTTTTTGCCACTTTGCCTAACCCCCCCCCAAAATTTTGGTCTAGATACGGTCCTGTTTCGATGAATATTTTCTGTAAACAAATAGTGGACGAAACATGGCAGCTCTTGATTTTCTGGTATTAATATCTTGTGGTCCTACTTGTTCCAGTATTTGTGAACCGCCAGTGATGTTCACAGAAGTCAATCTTGTGAGTTCTACTGGTGCAATCATTGATTGTGCCTGGGTGATCAAGGCAAGAAATGCAATGAGCGAGATTAAGTACCAAACTTGCTATAAAATAAATTATATCTAAATAAAATAGAAATATAGATATTTATTTTTGTAAGTTCAGTAGGTAGTAAACAAGTTGACACATAGTTTAACACAGAAATTTTCATTGAATAATAATATTTTTAACGTGAAAAGTAGTTATTGATACTTATAATAAAATGTGATTACTTTGTAGATTTTTATAAAGTATAGTTTCTGCAGTCTCCAAGGTCTTTTGACTTTTGTTACAGGTTTAAATTTGTTTATACATTTATTTCTATACAGATCAAGATAATGGTGAACTACATTCCCTACGTATACAAAAACTTACCTCAAACATTTTATTAGTTGTAGGTATATCTATATTAACTAGCGTCTAACACATCTATACTTAAAAGAACTTTTATTTTTCTCACAACTGCCAAAAGAGGAAATGTGTGCGTTGAAATCTCGCAAAGTACCTACATATTTATCCTATATGTAAATTTCAGATTAACACCTCGATTGGGGAAAAAATTGAAAACAATGAAAGTTTGATTTATTAAACAATTAGCACGTCGCGTCGGATGTTGATGAAATGTTACTTAATTTAATTTGCATGACAAATTGTGCAAATATTTTTCTTAAAAACAAGGAATAAATTATTAAAACTATATGTAATCAAAAAATTATATAGATATTGCAGCTTGTTTGGGCTGTGGTTAACTAAATGTCATGGTTCGGAAGTCAACGAACTCGGTACTTGGATCCTCAGCGCTACAGTCCAAAGAAGTTGCAATTTTTTTTTGGATTAAATTACATAAATCAATTAAATAAATAGGGAAAATAACTGGCTGAAAGTATACATAGAAGCATAATTCTTATAGATATCACCCCATGTAATATGGATAAGGCCGCGATATCCTTCGTCGTTGGGCAGAATATTTCCTATACACGAATAGTGGCCTGAAAATTGCAGCTTCCGCAGTGTTCAGGTCCGAAGAATTTTTCTCATCATCTGAAGTCATATTATCAATTGTTCTAATTTTCTTTTTGATGAAATTTGACATTGTTGGCTCGCTTGATGGAACCACTGGAGATGCATAAACACTTAGCACCAATAAAAGTGTTACATTAAGCACAATAATAACCTGAAAAAAGAAAAATATATATATGTATATAGGCGTTTTCGATATATTTCTCAGGCTTCGTGGATTAATCTAATAATATAATTGTTATTTATGTACCAAGGGCGTAATTAGATTATGGCTATTGTACGACGGTTTTTTAATTTTTAATCATTCTGAATATAAATATTGAAGCTGTTATTCAAGAAAACCGCTATATGTCAGTGACTATAATAATAAAGGAAGTACCTATCAACTAAAGAGGAACTCCTTGAAATTCTAAAATAAGACAACTAACTTAATAATCATGTTATGAAACAAATAAATCAACATTAAGCTTGTAAAGGCGGCATAAACTTTACGGTACTACGTAATATTATATCATGAAAAAAACATGTAAAGCTCAATACCTACTAAATTTGTCTACTATAATGTAAATAGGATTTTTACTGTTAATATTATCATAGGTTAGATATCTACTCACTGCTTTCGCTTTCATTTTTCCTCAAAAGTGACCACCGGACTTTATTTTGAAATCTCTATTGTTATTCGATGAATCTTAGAAAGTAACTGAATTTACTTTACATATCGCCAGGTCATTTATACGCAGAAGATGATTAATGGAATTATTTTTAAACTCATTGTTGACAGGGTAAAGACAAAAAGACATTTTCTCATTAAAATTAATTAGCACCTTTCGGTTGCAGGAAAATATTATGAGTAAAACACAGGCCAGGTAATACGCAGTGGCGTAGCCAGTAGGGGGGAAGGGGGGGGGGGGGGGGGCGACGGCCCCCTCCGCCCCGCAAGGCTGGCTACGCCACTGGTAATACGGATGAAGTGCTGCCCACCCGGAATATTAAAGAAGCTGTTGGACTGAATATGAAATACAAAGTGCTGATTGTATTTTATTCAGTTACATTTTTATTTATATTTTTCTAATTTTACAAAATTCTCATGCTTTTTTTCTGATAATGTCCGACACTCTATAAACCAGGAAGGTACCTATAATTTCGTGCCCAAAGCAAATGCTGGTCGATGTCGATAGCAATCATTCTCGTAATTATAATAGTTTTTAGAAAAATTTATAGTATGGAACTGGCGATCGCGATCTAAAATTATAGGTAAGATATAATCTGTTTCTATGTAATATAATCTAATATGGATGAAGATTATTATTATAGAAAGCTGCCGTACCTAGAAAAAAAAACTGCTCTCGATAATAATGTGCATTGCATTGCTATTATAGGTAATGTGTTTATAGTAACAATGTATAATCTAGTCAAGAGATAATTTCTGATGTGTCTGATGTCCCAAAAAAGATTTTCTTGACAAAAATCAAAAACTTTGGCATTTGTAGAAACTGTTTAAGTATAGTTACAGGAGAAAAATGCAAAATTTTCGATGGAATCAACTACAATTTCAATTTGAATGTTGTACGGGTTCATTAGGCCATTTAACTCATATTCTATATTTACTTTACGATGCCAGAACCAACGTGAATGTTGGTGCGTTGGTTTTGCGTATAAAAAAAAATCAAATTTTAAATGTCACCATAGTATATTCCTACAGTAAACAAGCGAGGCATAATAAAGACATAAAATTATATACAAAATGAAACATCAAAAGATTTTGTTTTTATCGATTCGTTTGTGATATTTCAACATAAAGATGTCGCTTTGTAAATACGGAAATATTATGAAAGACGGCGTCCATTACAAATGTTCTATTTAAGTGGCAATTCTATAATTAGGTTCATGTTTCCACTTTCACATTTTTCAAAAACATATTTGAATTATTCTTTTAGTCATTCTAATATTAGGCCTGTTCGCACAGCAATCACAAACCAGTCAGAGCGAATTTCATTGGTTGAAACCAATCAGAAACAGTCAGGAAACTAGTTTCAACCAATGAGATTTACTCTGACTGGTTTGTGATTTCTCTGCGAACAGACCTACTATCTGTATACTTTTTTCCGAAAAAAAAACGCTTATTTTTGAAAAAAAAAATTATTTAAAAATCGAATTTTTCAACTGGCGCGAAAACATGAACTTGGTTTGTGACGTCACACACCAGAAAAACAACAAAAATGCGAGGATGCTAAATTTCTCATAGTAAATCATTACACATTTCACTAGCTAGAAACTATTTTTGTCCTTTACTAGGTACATTATAAAAAAATAAAGGATAGGTATAATTCTTATTAACTCATTTAAATTTCGCATTTCTACATGTGGCAACAAAAATGTCAAAATCGGCTTTAGCCAATCAGAGAGCGTTTTCAATCACGTGATTTTTCTTTAAATTTTCAGTTTTTATTTATTAATTTATTTAATAATATTACTAAAATCTTGCAAAATATTGTTCATTCTCGGTTGCATTGATGAATCTGTGTCAAAAAATATCATAATTTGCCATATTCCTGGCACATGAAAGTGGCCCATTCTTCAAAATTGAAAGAAACTGTCCCAAAAATACCGTAAAGAGACCTAAAAAAGGGGCGTGGCACCCAAAAAACTCTTGTCAAGGTCTGAATCATAGATTAAGGCTCTCGCTTTTTCCATCAGTGTTCTGTTAAGCCTCTCTGCTTTTTCGTTTAGTTGGGGTGTATTCTCTTGCTGCCTCTTTCTTTGTACAATAATTGACATATTCTGTCCCAGGAATCGCATCTCAGCTTAGATATTTTCATATCCATGTCAGCTTCTACTTATTCCACGTACTATATCCCAATTCTCAAAAATCCCAACACATGGGTTCCAAAGTATCCGATACATTTTGTTCAAGTATCCATTCGACCGACAGGTTTCGACCGATTCTTAGACCTAGCGAATATACATATAAAATTTCATGAAAATCGGTCAAGCAGTTTCAGAGAAGTATTTTTACAAACACTGTGACACCGGAATTATACAGTGTGACACAAAGAAATAAAGTGCATTTTTCTTCATCGTTGTCCTTAAAAAATTCTTAATTTTTCAAACATTTCTTTCCCTGTTTTACCGGTTAATGACTTGCATCATCTTCTCAATCGTTGTGATTATTGCTTTTTGGGCTTCTGCATCCTTACGTCTCCATTCGGTTGTTTCCTCCTCGGTTCCTCCTTGCCAATGTCTACATATTTCTTTGTCTCCAGAAACAATCTCCCAGATGTTGGCGGCTTTGCAAAAAATCTTCAATTCAAATTTCCATTGCTGATAGCTGCTTGAGTCGACAAGCTTCTCAATTTTTAATTTCCTAACGTCTTTCCCTGGATTTTTCTTTCTTGACAAACTAACGTCACTCTTCTTGATTTATGATTTTTCTGATAAATGAATGTGTCTGTGAATACTAAAAATCCAAATCTGTTCATATATTATCTGTAACTGTTCACTAATTCATCATTGATTTCTTTATTGATCAACAATTATTCATGGTCATCACTTCCAATTTCCAATAAAGAATCTATTGAAAGTTCTTACCTCATGAAAATATTCGTTTATTGTTTGTTAGTATGACATCAATCTTTTTGATCAAGTGAAGAGTTTAAAGTGTTTTTAAATAGTAAATGCAACGTTGTTCAGTTTAATTTATTCACTATTTCGGATTGAGTGATTAAAACAAGCGTTTAATCTCGTCTGCGACTGCTGCAGAGTAGCCTTTCATCTGGCTCAAGGATGTTCTGGACTATTTAGTTCTGAACAAAGGACAGTTGTGCTCCAGAAAAAGCTATTAATGTAGGTACTTCTGTGCTGAGTGCCGAAATGCCTTTAAATCGTCACCTATGGTAATAAAAAAAATTGAGGAGCTGCAAAATGAGGTAATCAAACTGAAAAAAAAGAGATAGAGGTGCTTAAAAGTCTCCATCTTCAAATACAGAGCAAATTCTATCTGAAGCTCATGACCGTCATATTCGATCCAGAAATCTCATGGGTGTTTGATGTTCCGGAGCTAGCCAATTCTGCACTACAGGACAAGATAAAGCACGATACCGCCATAATCCACAATATTTTTCAGAAGTTAGGATATGAAAATGAGGTTGAAGCGATAGGCAAGGTTTTTCGACTTGGCCAAAGAGTGGATGGTAAGAAAAGGTCTCAAAAATTATCTGCAACAACTCAGAAATTGTGCAGAAAGCAATGTGGTGCTTTCTGCAAAGAAAAGAGTCATGTCGCTATAGAATAGCTAATGACAACAAAGATGCAGCAAGACCAATACAAAGCTGCAAAACAAGAACTTACCCGCAGAAATCAGGAGGGTGAGAATCTTGTAATACGGAACAAAAATGAAATTTTAGCTGGTTGTTGCCAGAAATATGTATACCTACCAGCTTTCAAAAAAATAGACTATAGGAGGGGTTGTTTTAGTTAGTATGGATGATTTTTATGACTAATCTATCTTCATAACTTTATATTTTGTTAATTGTAAAACTGTTAATGGGGTTTTCCCGTAAATTAATAAATGAAAATCTTGTTTAGTATTTTTCAGCCATGTCCATTTTTGCTGATGAATTTCCTACGAAGAAAGTGCTGTAGTGTGAATTCACTCACGCATCTTTTTTTACATTTCTAGAACTCCTCTTAAGGTGGCCCATCAGTCATCCCTCTTCCAAAGCCATATTTATTTTCGCCAACTTTCCATGTAAGATATACCATGATGTGTAGAGAGCATAATGTTATGTTGAGATTTTTTGAAAAAATTTAATATGTTTTTATAAGAGATTAAGGCAGACAATATTTATATTCTTGACAGTTCAAAATTACTACTAAGGAATTGACGGCACAAAAATAATAGATATTCTAATTGATTATTTAAATCCGTTGGATGATTTACTATAATCCATCTTAAAATATTAATATTAAACAACCTTCAATCACGCGCTATTACAAGGATGACACTCGGGTATATTTCTCGGTTTCTCGCTGTGAGGTTACCATCCTGACAGGATATAAAGAATCCACGTCCGTTGAAAGGGGGACAAGTGTGATCTTGCCCAGCAGGGCGCACTTCCCTACTGGGAGCCAATAAAATAAAACGGTTCCAGTTATTTTTCCTTTTTAAACTCGCCTTTATGGGTTTAAGAGTTATTGAAATTTATTTAAACTGTTTGACAATGTAGACATAGGGAGTTACACAAATATGAGGAGGGAACGAGTTTGTCTTACCAGGTGTCTGCGTAGCGGAGGGTCCCGGTCAGTTAATTTGAAAATCGATTTATTGTTTTACCATCAGGCATAATATGTTTTTGTTTATGATACCCCATTTTCGTTTTTTTGAATTTAAGGGTCAGTTTTAAATTATCCAAATTTCAACCTATTATCCAAATTTCAAGAAGAAAAACATTACATTCTCAAGTTTTCATCATTGAAGTTTTTCCGTATTGACCGATTGGATTGAATATCTTTTTTTCAACTTCCACAAGTCCTGAGAAAATGTTGCGCCATCCAAGTTCCACAAATATACAGAACAGTGAGAGCCATTGAAGATGCATGTAGAATTTGTGGACTTTTTCCACATATAGCTTCAACCAACAAGGATTTTTCACTTAAAAATCAATATTTTTAGATAATAAT